GCAGCGGTGAGCCATGATGTATCGGAAGACCAGTAGACGAAGGGAGACTGAGAACCTGGCGAAGCGCAGAGTCAGGCGGTGGCTGATATGACGGAGATGGCGGAGCGAAGAAGAGGCGCGGCTGTGCAGTGCCACCAGCACCAGCAGCTCCAGCACCTCCAACAGCTCCAATACCCTCAGCAGCTCCAGCACCTCCAGGAGCTCCAGAACCCTCAGCGCCAGCTTCTCCAGGACCAGCTCCACCAGCTGCAGCACCCCCAGAACGGGCACCTCCATTCCCAGGGTCTCCAGCCTCAGTGCCTCCAGCAGCAGTACCCCCAGACCCAGGGTCTCCAGCAGTAGCACCCTCAGACACAGAACCTCCGGACCCAGCAGCTCCAGTACCTCCAATACGAGCACCTCCGGGACCAGCGACTCCCGCACCTCCAGTAGACAAAGGACCAGCACCACTCCCATCTCCAATGACGTCAGCAAAAGTACCTCCAGCAGCAGAGCCCCGAGCTCCAGAAGCGTGACCCTAACGACGACCGTACCAGTCCTGCAGCTGCTGTGAGGTGAGAGGCACACGCTGAAGAAGGCGGCTACTCCAAGGAGACCGCGTAACAGCAGTCTCAGAACCCTCAGGCGTCGCACCCCCAGACTCAGCACCCCCAGGCTCCTCACACGCAGGCTCAGCACCCCCAGACGCAACACCCCTAGGCTCAGGACCTCCAGGCTCCTCACGCGCAGGCTCAGCACCTCTAGGCTCCGCACCCTTAGGCTCCTCATGCTCAGGCTCAGTGCCCCCAGACTCCGCACCCCCTGTCTCAGCACCTCCTGGGTCCTCACGCTCAGGCTCCGGACCCCCAGGCTCAGCACCCCCATGCTCCGCACTGCCAAGCTCCGCACCCCCAGGGACAGCACCACCCTCAGCAGGACCTGAGTCACCAGTGACCTCAACAGGCGCAGGTACGGGAGGGTCTACCTTAGAGACACCAAAAGGAGCAGGACCTGGCGCGGGGAGGGGGTCTACCTCAATACCTAGGGTGAGAAAGAGCGGCGGGGGGGGGGGGGGGGGGGGGGGGGGGGGGGGGCGAGGGGCAGTGCGGTAGGGAAAGAGACGGTAAAAGGGAACTGACTCGTCAAAGATGACGTCTTAAGACGGAAAGACACGGCGCGAGGCGGGGTCGTAAAACTGCCAGCCAGGCGCGTCAGGGACAAAGCCAAGGAAGACGCAGAGAATGGCGCGAGGGGAGAGTTTGTCTGCGGTGGTATCGCGGACAAAGGCACGAGCACCCCAGACCCGGAAACGCGACGCATGGCCAACATTCCCCGTCTACAGCAGTGTGGGCAAGGTCTCTGGCAAGGAGACACGGGGCCACAGGTTGAGCTGATGCGCGGCGTACCAGACAGCAAACGGCCACAGAAAATGGGGGGCAGCCGCATGGATCATGCAGGTACGAGCGACCTCCATGACTAAGCCAATGCGGCGCTCAGCAACCCCATTCTGCTGCGGAGAGGCCGGAAGCGTGAATGTCTGGCGGATGCCGTGCTCCGCACAGAAGGCTGCCAAGAGGTCTGAGGAGAACTCACCACCTTTGTCAAAGTGCAGACGCAGGACAGGAAATTTCAACTTGAACCGCTCGCGGAGCTGGAGACGAACAGCGTGGATCCAGGGGATCAAAACATCACGGACCTCCCCCTTGCGCTGCAAGAAGAAGACCGTGGTGAAACACGTGTAGTCGTCGACGACCAGCAGGAAGTACCGCTCGTGGCCCTGTCCACGGACGCGGGCTGGGCCCCACACGTCCAGGTAGAGAGTCTGCAGTGGAGCCTCTGTGGGAGGGAACGAGGAGAAGTGAGGAGCGGTGCGCTGCTGCCCCTCGACGCAAGGAATGCAGGGCGGCGCAGGCGAGGGAGGGAGGGCAGGTAGAGACCTGGGAAGGCGAGAGACCAGGAAGCGAGAGTGCATGCTGCGACGGCGACTCAGGGAGGGGTGACCAAGGCGGTAGTGCCAAAGGAGAGTGTCGTGCGATAGCCGGCGACACTCATAGTGGGTAGCTACCTGAGTAGACGCGTACAGCTGGGGAGATAAAGGGGTGTAGCGCGACGCAGTGGTGAGGGTGTACAGACTGGACCTAGGCGCACGTGTGAACGTGGCCAGGTGATGGCCGGTCCGGGAGCACGTGCAGATCGTCACACGCTGTCCTCCAGGAGTAAAGGTGTCAACCCAGTGATCCTGAAGGACGGCGTTGCTCACCAAGTTCGTAGAGAACGAGGGGAGGTGGAGACCAGACAGCTCACCAGACGGGACCGCCGGACACGGAAGCACAGTGGAAGACCGTGCAAGCACTGGGCCCCCAGAGGGGTCAGCCAGTGAGACAGGAACAGGTGCAGGGAGGGGAATGACTGTGGTGCTGTCGCGAAAGAAACAGCGGGAAGCACCAGAGTCAAGTGTGAAGGTGTGCAAGGCCTGTGCGGACGCAGTACCAGGGGGAGCAGACTCACAATCACCTAGTGCCATAGGCGCTATACCTGGGGCTATACCGGGGTCAGGCGGCACACACAAGTAGCAGTCACCCTCAGCACTAACAGTCAATGCATACATGGCAGCAAGAATAGCCTCATAGTCAAGATCAAAGATAGGTACATCACGCCTAAGCAGGTCTGCCCAGTTGGGGAAATTAGTAGCATCAGGAAACTTGACGCTCCAGGCGTCGCTAAGCCGAGCGAAGCAGCGGTACTCAGTGTGAAACCCTGTGCACTGGCGACCAGCGCGTGGACCTGCGCGAATGATATAGGGGCAGCGACCAGGACCCCCAGACGCCCCACGCCCGGCATACCAGTCAAGAAGCTGCTGGGAAGTGGGGGTCTGGCGCTGACGCTGCTACGGCTGCTGCTGCTGTTGCTGCTGCTGCCCCTCGCCACCACTGGTGTCACCCAAGCCCCCACCACCGCTGCCACCACCACTCCCCCCTCTGCCACCACCGCCGCCGCCACCGCCACCGCTCCCCGCACCACCACCGCCCCCACCACCACCTCCACCCCCACGACCACCCCCACCACCTCCACCTCCCCGGCCGCCTCCACCACCGCCCCCTCCACTGCCACGTCCGCCACCCCTGCCACCCTTGCCTCCCCTGGAGCCGCTGCGCTTCCCACTAGGAGCGAAAGCAGCTGCGACCTTCTCAGCACCAAGGAGGTCGACATCAGCAGCTGCGGAGGCGTGGGAGGGGGAGCACCCCTCAAAGAGGGGAGAGCGAGGAGTACCACGAGCAGCACCTACAGCGAGGATGTTCTTCTCTGCTGCTAGGAGGTGCTTCTCGAAGTCGGCGACAGTGAGAGTGGTAGGGTCTAGGGCTAGGAAGTGGTCCCTGACGGAGCTAAGAGTGTCAGGGAGGCGGGTGACGAGGAAATAGAGAGTGAAGTACATCGAGGGGGGGGGGTTGCGGCGCAGAACTCGGCTGGAAGGGTGGCACGAAAGCGAGTGTCACTAGTGCGAAGGTGAGAAATGAGGTCCTCAGCAGTGGTAAACGAGGACAGGTCGGGGAACAGGTAGGGTAGCATGAGCCGACCTAGGGCTGCAGTGGCCGGGGAGGAGTAGCGCGCAACTACAGCGTCGTACAGTGCCTTAGCAATTTTGTGCTGGCTGAAATGCGCGCGCTCAGTGATCGGCAGATGGTTCCTAATAGCTAGGCGTGCAGCAGCATCGCGAATCTGCCACTGTGAGCGTTCAAGAGCAGAAGCATCGTCAGCAGGAGCAACGGCAGTGCCAGACACGTAATCGAACAGTCAAACGCCGTCTTTGGCATCAAACGGAAGGAACAGTTGGAGATTGTCGAGCCACACAGCGAACTCGATCGGGCGACCGTCAGGCTCAAACGCGAGAACATTAAGCGTCGCCATAATCGCAGTGCAGGTAAAGCCAGTTGGCAAAGGCAGTAGGCAGTAGGCAGCAGGCAGCAGGTAAAGGCAAAGGCAGCTCAGGCAGCGCGCAGGGCAGTAGCAGGCCGCGCGTAGGCTGCAGCAGCGGGCAGCGCGCGGGCTCCTAAGGCAGCTAGCGGAGCTGCAAAGGGGTGCGCAGGCGGTAGACGCGACGTGCGGGGCAGCAGCGAACTGCGCGGGCGGCGGACTCGGCGCGCGGGGCAGCAGCTGGCCGCACTGGCGACGGACGCGGCGCGCGGGGCCTAAGCAGGCTGCGCGCGGCGGCGGGCTGCGCGGGCTCGTCGCGGACTGCGCGAGCGGTGCGCGGGCGACGCGGGCTCGGCGCATGCTGCGCGCGCGGCGCGCGGCGCTGCAGCGGGCTGCGGAGGCGGCTGCAGCAGTAGCGCGCGCTAAAAAAAGATACGCGCGTGTGCAGCCGAGGCGCGTGCGGGCAACAGGCAAGGCAGGCAGGCAGGCAAGGCCGTAGGTGAGGTAACGCGGTAACAGGTGGGCCCTAATCTTAGGTCCTAAAGACCTACTGCTCTGATACCATCTTAGAAACTAGTCAGGAATGGTTGACTATTGGGAAGATTGGGTACAAGGACAAAACCCTAGCAATGTGTTGTACCCCATATGTGCTACCCCACTACAGCCTACACCCTAACATTATATATATAGTTTGACAGGGAGTAGGTATGAGCGAATAGCGGATGGACAGAGCACGCGAATAGGTTTCCCGCAGCTGAGGTTTGAAGGGCTTAGGGCAAACGTTGAAGAGGATACGACGAGGAAGGGGATGCGACGAACTAAGGAGGGGCCGCAACGGCCAAAGGAAGGGCTGATGGCTTTAGGAAGGGTCAATGGCCTTAGGAAGGGGACTTGGCAGCCTTGGGAGGTCGGAATGAAATCGAAAGTATTAACTTTTTGTACAATTGGTGGGTCGTGTAATGTTTTGTCGTCTAGTGGGGATTGAACCAAATACTTGTCAAAATAAAGCATCTGGGTTTAGGTAAGCTATATGGGGGTCGTCATACGTATGTGGAGGGAAAAAAAGGGGATTGCGGGGGGGGAGGGAAGGAGGGAGGAGATCCAGGGGATTACATCAGCTGCAGGCTCACGATAGGAACGGATGGACCCTGAATTTGCTATGCTCATGCTGGCCACAAAGATACCGTATTGGGATGCTTGAATCCATGATTAACGGTTCTGCGTATCTCTAGTTCATTACAAGATTGTATACACCAATATCAGCACCATCAGTCCTGCTTCACACTCCCAACGCTAGGAGAGCTGCGCGTGCTGCTGCTCTTCTGCCCGCCACTCTGATCTGGGGACACCATTGGCGATAATCTTGTAGCGCTACCTTGCTCTCTGGCACCAAAGTACCCTCCACCTCGCACAGCAGTGTCAACTGATGCAGCCATTGCAGATGGTATTACCACTACCAACGAATCAGCAACACCTGTCACGCTGCGCGCTCCCGCATCCCCCCTTCCCTTGCCCGATTCGCGAATGGGGGCAGCCGAAAAACTTGAAGCAAGCTCAACTCCGCCACCATCCCCCCTACCCCTACCGGCAGCACTACTACTACTACTACTGGTACAACTGCTGGAATCTGCAGCAGGAGCATCGGAAGGTCGCACAGTCACGGCAGGAGGTTCAAGAACCAGTGCATTTGATGCAAGTGCGGCCGTGCCGGAAGGAATGGGAGAACGGGCTAGCGGCGAGGCGGTAGTGGGAGGAGAGGGTGCAGTGGGGGAGGAAGGTGCAACAGCAGAGGCCACAGCAGGAGGAGCGGCAGGAGACAGAGGAAGGGCACGAGGAGGAGGAATCGGGCTGGCGTGGGATGACGAAGCAGCAGCAGGAGGAGGAAGAGGAGGAGGAGCAGCAGGAGTGTTTGCAGGAGAACCAGCAGCTGGAGCAGGAGCAGCGGCAGCAGGAGCAGAAGGGTGAGGGGTGGGGGAGCGGGGGCTGGGAGTGGGGGTGGCGGAGGCAGCGGCGCGCAGCAGAGTGGCCACCACAACTGTGTGGTTGTTGTCCCTCGCCTCGTCCATGGGTGTGCGCTGCCACCGGTCGCGCACACTAGGGCTCGCCCCTCCCTGCAGCAGAACCTGGTTGACAGGGGTTGGGTTCAGGGCATGGGGTTCGGGGTTCAGGATTTGAAACCAAGGATTTGGGCCTTGGAATGTGGGTTTATGGGAAGCTTAACGAGTGGGTGTGGTTGTTGTTCCTCGCCTCGTCCATGGCTGTGCGCTACCACCGGTCGTGCACACTCGGGTTCAGTGTTTGAAGAAGGAAGTTAGACCTGGCATGATTTCCGTTGCTTGCGGTGTCCCTGTGTCCCCCCCACATCTGGGGCTCTCAGACCTTGCCACAGAACCTGAATCATGTTGATTCGCAAGTCACGTGCACTCACCTTGCCTGACCTGGACTCGCATTGAATCTTCTTGACCCACCTGGACCACGTTGAGATGGGCCTGGGTAGAAGACACATGCAGCACCTGTGATGTGCCCATCATAGTCAGCCACCTTGACTCCCATACCACAATCACCTTGACTCCCATTGACCCCCATTGACTCCCATTGACCCCCATTGACTCCCATTGACCCCCATTGACTCCCATTGACCCACCTTGACAACGTTGAGGTGCCCCTCAGCAGCCGCCACGTGCAGCGCGGTGCGGCCGTCGTAGTCAGCGGAGTTGGGGTCGGCGCCGAACTCCAGCAGCCGCGCCAGCTGGTGCGAGTTGGACGAGCTCGCCAGGCGGCACAGATGCGTGCCCTGGTTGCGCAGATGCAGCTCGCCCCCGTTGCTGCAGGGTAGGGGAAGAGGAGTGGGGACGGGGAGAAGGGGACAAAGGGAGAGGAAGAGAGAGGGAGAGGAAGAGAGATGGAGAGGGGGAGGAGGGACGGGTCGTCACAGGTGCAACTCGCCACCGTTGCTGCAGAACCGATCACCACTGCAGCAGCACAGGTGGTGCATGGCCTGGTGCACCACCTGTGCTGGACACGCAGCACAACTTATGGGATGCCTCGAATTGAGCGGCTAGGCTGGGAAGTGCACAAGGGCGCTTGTCTGTTTACATGGTGAAGCTTGGTGAGGGCGACTGGACGGGGGAAGAGAAGGGGAGTGGATGGGAAAAGAGCAGGTGGAGGAGAGGCGAGGGGACGTGCGAGTGGAGTGAAAGGAGTGTGAAGCAGCACAGGCAGCATGGGCCCGGGTGCTGGCATCCCTTCCAGTGCTGGCATCCCTTCCAGTGCTGGCATCCCTTCCAGTGCTGGCATCCCTTCCAGTGCTGGCATCCCTTCCAGTGTTGGCATCCCTTCCAGTGCAAGGGACCAATAAGTCGTCACGGGCGAGTGCCTTGAGGTCCTTGCGTGTGCGCATGAATGCATGGATGGGCTCACCTGCAGGACTGGAAGGGGGGAAGGGAGGGGGAGTGAAAGGCGCGCCGGGTGGTTGGGGTGGTGGTGGAGCAGGCGAGATGGCACGTGTGCTTCCGGTGATTGCGCGGCTGGGTCATTCCCTGGTGGCTGGGGGGAGATGTGGGAGGGATGGGGGGGGCGAAGTGGGGAGGAAGGCGGCGTTGGAGAGAGAGGGGGAGTGGTGAAAGATAGGAAGTAGAGAAGTAGGGGAGTGCAAGAGAAGGGAACAGGGAAGTGGAGTGCCAACACGTGAGGGGCAAGGAGGGCACACGTGACATGAGGAACAAGGAGGGCACACGTGACATGAGGAACAAGGAGGGCACACGTGACATGAGGAACAAGGAGGGCACACGTGACATGAGGAACAAGGAGGGCACACGTGACATGAGGAACAAGAAGGGCACACGTGACATGAGGAACAAGGAGGGCACACGTGACATGAGGAACAAGGAGGGCACACGTGACATGAGGAACAAGGAGGGCACACGTGACATGAGGAACAAGGAGGGCACACGTGACATGAGGAACAAGGAGGGCACACGTGACATGAGGAACAAGGAGGGCACACGTGACATGAGGAACAAGGAGGGCACACGTGACATGAGGAACAAGGAGGGCACACGTGACATGAGGAACAAGGAGGGCACACGTGACATGAGGAACAAGGAGGGCACACGTGACATGAGGAACAAGAAGGGCACACGTGACATGAGGAACAAGGAGGGCACACGTGACATGAGGAACAAGGAGGGCACACGTGACATGAGGAACAAGGAGGGCACACGTGACATGAGGAACAAGGAGGGCACACGTGACATGAGGAACAAGGAGGGCACACGTGACATGAGGAACAAGGAGGGCACACGTGACATGAGGAACAAGGAGGGCACACGTGACATGAGGAACAAGAGGGCACACGTGACATGAGGAACAAGGAGGGCACACGTGACATGAGGAACAAGGAGGGCACACGTGACATGAGGAACAAGGAGGGCACACGTGACATGAGGAACAAGGAGGGCACACGTGACATGAGGAACAAGGAGGGCACACGTGACATGAGGAACAAGGAGGGCACACGTGACATGAGGAACAAGGAGGGCACACGTGACATGAGGAACAAGGAGGGCACACGTGACATGAGGAACAAGGAGGGCACACGTGACATGAGGAACAAGGAGTGCACACGTGACATGAGGAACAAGGAGGGCACACGTGACATGAGGAACAAGGAGGGCACACGTGACATGAGGAACAAGGAGGGCACACGTGACATGAGGAACAAGGAGGGCACACGTGACATGAGGAACAAGGAGGGCACACGTGACATGAGGAACAAGGAGGGCACACGTGACATGAGGAACAAGGAGGGCACACGTGACATGAGGAACAAGGAGGGCACACGTGACATGAGGAACAAGGAGGGCACACGTGACATGAGGAACAAGGAGGGCACACGTGACATGAGGAACAAGGAGGGCACACGTGACATGAGGAACAAGGAGGGCACACGTGACATGAGGAACAAGAAGGGCACACGTGACATGAGGAACAAGGAGGGCACACGTGACATGAGGAACAAGGAGGGCACACGTGACATGAGGAACAAGGAGGGCACACGTGACATGAGGAACAAGGAGGGCACACGTGACATGAGGAACAAGGAGGGCACACGTGACATGAGGAACAAGGAGGGCACACGTGACATGAGGAACAAGGAGGGCACACGTGACATGAGGAACAAGGAAGGGCACACGTGACATGAGGAACAAGGAGGGCACACGTGACATGAGGAACAAGGAGGGCACACGTGACATGAGGAACAAGGAGGGCACACGTGACATGAGGAACAAGGAGGGCACACGTGACATGAGGAACAAGGAGGGCACACGTGACATGAGGAACAAGGAGGGCACACGTGACATGAGGAACAAGGAGGGCACACGTGACATGAGGAACAAGGAGGGCACACGTGACATGAGGAACAAGGAGGGCACACGTGACATGAGGAACAAGGAGTGCACACGTGACATGAGGAACAAGGAGGGCACACGTGACATGAGGAACAAGGAGGGCACACGTGACATGAGGAACAAGGAGGGCACACGTGACATGAGGAACAAGGAGGGCACACGTGACATGAGGAACAAGGAGGGCACACGTGACATGAGGAACAAGGAGGGCACACGTGACATGAGGAACAAGGAGGGCACACGTGACATGAGGAACAAGGAGGGCACACGTGACATGAGGAACAAGGAGGGCACACGTGACATGAGGAACAAGGAGGGCACACGTGACATGAGGAACAAGGAGGGCACACGTGACATGAGGAACAAGGAGGGCACACGTGACATGAGGAACAAGGAGGGCACGCGTGACATGAGGAACAAGGAGGGCACACGTGACATGAGGAACAAGGAGGGCACACGTGACATGAGGAACAAGGAGGGCACACGTGACATGAGGAACAAGGAGGGCACACGTGACATGAGGAACAAGGAGGGCACACGTGACATGAGGAACAAGGAGGGCACACGTGACATGAGGAACAAGGAGGGCACACGTGACATGAGGAACAAGGAGTGCACACGTGACATGAGGAACAAGGAGGGCACACGTGACATGAGGAACAAGGAGGGCACACGTGACATGAGGAACAAGGAGGGCACACGTGACATGAGGAACAAGGAGGGCACACGTGACATGAGGAACAAGGAGGGCACACGTGACATGAGGAACAAGGAGGGCACACGTGACATGAGGAACAAGGAGGGCACACGTGACATGAGGAACAAGGAGGGCACACGTGACATGAGGAACAAGGAGGGCACACGTGACATGAGGAACAAGGAGGGCACACGTGACATGAGGAACAAGGAGGGCACACGTGACATGAGGAACAAGGAGGGCACACGTGACATGAGGAACAAGGAGGGCACACGTGACATGAGGAACAAGGAGGGCACACGTGACATGAGGAACAAGGAGGGCACACGTGACATGAGGAACAAGGAGGGCACACGTGACATGAGGAACAAGGAGGGCACACGTGACATGAGGAACAAGGAGGGCACACGTGACATGAGGAACAAGGAGGGCACACGTGACATGAGGAACAAGGAGGGCACACGTGACATGAGGAACAAGGAGGGCACACGTGACATGAGGAACAAGGAGGGCACACGTGACATGAGGAACAAGGAGGGCACACGTGACATGAGGAACAAGGAGGGCACACGTGACATGAGGAACAAGGAGGGCACACGTGACATGAGGAACAAGGAGGGCACACGTGACATGAGGAACAAGGAGGGCACACGTGACATGAGGAACAAGGAGGGCACACGTGACATGAGGAACAAGGAGGGCACACGTGACATGAGGAACAAGGAGGGCACACGTGACATGAGGAACAAGGAGGGCACACGTGACATGAGGAACAAGGAGGGCACACGTGACATGAGGAACAAGGAGGGCACACGTGACATGAGGAACAAGGAGGGCACACGTGACATGAGGAACAAGGAGGGCACACGTGACATGAGGAACAAGGAGGGCACACGTGACATGAGGAACAAGGAGGGCCACACGTGACATGAGGAACAAGGAGGGCACACGTGACATGAGGAACAAGGAGGGCACACGTGACATGAGGAACAAGGAGGGCACACGTGACATGAGGAACAAGGAGGGCACACGTGACATGAGGAACAAGGAGGGCACACGTGACATGAGGAACAAGGAGGGCACACGTGACATGAGGAACAAGGAGGGCACACGTGACATGAGGAACAAGGAGGGCACACGTGACATGAGGAACAAGGAGGGCACACGTGACATGAGGAACAAGGAGGGCACACGTGACATGAGGAACAAGGAGGGCACACGTGACATGAGGAACAAGGAGGGCACACGTGACATGAGGAACAAGGAGGGCACACGTGACATGAGGAACAAGGAGGGCACACGTGACATGAGGAACAAGGAGGGCACACGTGACATGAGGAACAAGGAGGGCACACGTGACATGAGGAACAAGGAGGGCACACGTGACATGAGGAACAAGGAGGGCACACGTGACATGAGGAACAAGGAGGGCACACGTGACATGAGGAACAAGGAGGGCACACGTGACATGAGGAACAAGGAGGGCACACGTGACATGAGGAACAAGGAGGGCACACGTGACATGAGGAACAAGGAGGGCACACGTGACATGAGGAACAAGGAGGGCACACGTGACATGAGGAACAAGGAGGGCACACGTGACATGAGGAACAAGGAGGGCACACGTGACATGAGGAACAAGGAGGGCACACGTGACATGAGGAACAAGGAGGGCACACGTGACATGAGGAACAAGGAGGGCACACGTGACATGAGGAACAAGGAGGGCACACGTGACATGAGGAACAAGGAGGGCACACGTGACATGAGGAACAAGGAGGGCACACGTGACATGAGGAACAAGGAGGGCACACGTGACATGAGGAACAAGGAGGGCACACGTGACATGAGGAACAAGGAGGGCACACGTGACATGAGGAACAAGGAGGGCACACGTGACATGAGGAACAAGGAGGGCACACGTGACATGAGGAACAAGGAGGGCACACGTGACATGAGGAACAAGGAGGGCACACGTGACATGAGGAACAAGGAGGGCACACGTGACATGAGGAACAAGGAGGGCACACGTGACATGAGGAACAAGGAGGGCACACGTGACATGAGGAACAAGGAGGGCACACGTGACATGAGGAACAAGGAGGGCACACGTGACATGAGGAACAAGGAGGGCACACGTGACATGAGGAACAAGGAGGGCACACGTGACATGAGGAACAAGGAGGGCACACGTGACATGAGGAACAAGGAGGGCACACGTGACATGAGGAACAAGGAGGGCACACGTGACATGAGGAACAAGGAGGGCACACGTGACATGAGGAACAAGGAGGGCACACGTGACATGAGGAACAAGGAGGGCACACGTGACATGAGGAACAAGGAGGGCACACGTGACATGAGGAACAAGGAGGGCACACGTGACATGAGGAACAAGGAGGGCACACGTGACATGAGGAACAAGGAGGGCACACGTGACATGAGGAACAAGGAGGGCACACGTGACATGAGGAACAAGGAGGGCACACGTGACATGAGGAACAAGGAGGGCACACGTGACATGAGGAACAAGGAGGGCACACGTGACATGAGGAACAAGGAGGGCACACGTGACATGAGGAACAAGGAGGGCACACGTGACATGAGGAACAAGGAGGGCACACGTGACATGAGGAACAAGGAGGGCACACGTGACATGAGGAACAAGGAGGGCACACGTGACATGAGGAACAAGGAGGGCACACGTGACATGAGGAACAAGGAGGGCACACGTGACATGAGGAACAAGGAGGGCACACGTGACATGAGGAACAAGGAGGGCACACGTGACATGAGGAACAAGGAGGGCACACGTGACATGAGGAACAAGGAGGGCACACGTGACATGAGGAACAAGGAGGGCACACGTGACATGAGGAACAAGGAGGGCACACGTGACATGAGGAACAAGGAGGGCACACGTGACATGAGGAACAAGGAGGGCACACGTGACATGAGGAACAAGGAGGGCACACGTGACATGAGGAACAAGGAGGGCACACGTGACATGAGGAACAAGGAGGGCACACGTGACATGAGGAACAAGGAGGGCACACGTGACATGAGGAACAAGGAGGGCACACGTGACATGAGGAACAAGGAGGGCACACGTGACATGAGGAACAAGGAGGGCACACGTGACATGAGGAACAAGGAGGGCACACGTGACATGAGGAACAAGGAGGGCACACGTGACATGAGGAACAAGGAGGGCACACGTGACATGAGGAACAAGGAGGGCACACGTGACATGAGGAACAAGGAGGGCACACGTGACATGAGGAACAAGGAGGGCACACGTGACATGAGGAACAAGGAGGGCACACGTGACATGAGGGGACAAGGAGGGCACACGTGACATGAGGAACAAGGAGGGCACACGTGACATGGGGAACAAGGAGGGCACACGTGACATGAGGGACAAGGAGGGCACACGTGACATGAGGAACAAGGAGGGCACACGTGACATGGGGAACAAGGAGGGCACACGTGACATGAGGAACAAGGAGGGCACACGTGACATGAGGAACAAGGAGGGCACACGTGACATGAGGAACAAGGAGGGCACACGTGACATGAGGAACAAGGAGGGCACACGTGACATGAGGAACAAGGAGGGCACACGTGACATGAGGAACAAGGAGGGCACACGTGACAAGGAGGGCACACGTGACAAGGAGGGCACACGTGACAAGGAGGGCACACGTGACAAGGAGGGCACACGTGACAAGGAGGGCACACGTGACAAGGAGGGCACACGTGACAAGGAGGGCACACGTGACAAGGAGGGCACACGTGACAAGGAGGGCACACGTGACAAGGAGGGCACACGTGACAAGGAGGGCACACGTGACAAGGAGGGCACACGTGACAAGGAGGGCACACGTGACATGGGGAACAAGGAGGGCACACTACACATGGGGAACAAGGAGGGCACACTACACATGGTACGGCAGAGCAGAGCAGGGCGGGCTGAGCTTTTGCCTTCCGATCCGAGGAGCATTGGCAGAGCATTGGCAGAGCATTGGCAGAGAAGTGGCAGAGAGAGGTGGGCGGTGGGCGGCGCACTGACCTGCGGAGGATCTCAGCGGTGCTCCAGTGGCCGGCAGCAACGGCCTCCTGCAGGGGGGTGCGCCAGAAGGCGTCCTTGGCGTTCACTTGTGCTCCATGGGCCAGCAGGAATTGCACCACCTTGTCCTGCCCTGTCACTGCCGCTAGGTGCTGGTGGAGGGGAGGGGGGAATAGAGGAGAGGGAAAGTGGGGGGAAGAGAGGGGACATGGTGTGGGGGAAGGAGGTCAGACGGCACCACCTTGTCCTGCCCTGTCACTGCTGCTAGGTGCTGGATAACATGGAAGGGGATGAGGGGACAGTGGGGAAGGGGGAGGAGGACATGGTGTGGCGTGGTGTGGTGGGGAAAGGAGGTCAGAAGGCGTTCTCGGCTAAATCAACCTAATTAGCCAGCGAAACAACTCCCTGCACTCATCTCACACTCATTCATCTCACCATGGAAGTGCGGCCATCTCACCATGGGCGTGCGGCCATCTCACCATGGGCGTGCGGCCATCTCACCATGGGCGTGCGGCCATCGTAGTCAGCAGCCGCCACATCAAAGCCGCCAGCGGCGAGGCGGAAGCACTCCAGCATGTCGCCACGCTTGGCAGCATAGCACAGGTTCATCAGCGTCTCCTGCACCAGCCGGTTGCGGAACGACTGAGGGGGGGGGGGGGGGAGGAGAGGGGTGGAAGGAAAGGGTTGGGGTTCGACCCTAGAATGTAGCCATTTGGGCGGCGTAGCACAGGTCCATCAGCGTCTCCTGCACCAGACGGTGGCGGAAGGACTGGACTGGCGGGCGGGGAGAGGTGGGTCAGACTGGTGGAGGGGGGAGGGGATTTGGCTTAAGACTCTAGAATGCCACGAGGCGGAGAGAGGGGTTGCCGCGTAGCACAGGTTCACGAGCGACTCCTGTACCAGTCGGTTCACAAGCGACTCCTGTACCAGTCGGTTCACAAGCGACTCCTGTACCAGTCGGTTCACGAGCGACTCCTGTACCAGTCGGTTCACGAGCGACTCCTGTACCAGTCGGTTCACGAGCGACTCCTGTACCAGACGGTTCACGAGCGACTCCTGTACCAGTCGGTTCACGAGCGACTCCTGTACCAGTCGGTTCACGAGCGACTCCTGTACCAGTCGGTTCACGAGCGACTCCTGTACCAGTCGGTTCACGAGCGACTCCTGTACCAGTCGGTTCACGAGCGACTCCTGTACCAGTCGGTTCACAAGCGACTCCTGTACCAGTCGGTTCACAAGCGACTCCTGTACCAGTCGGTTCACGAGCAACTCCTGTACCAGTCGGTTCACAAGCGACTCCTGTACCAGTCGGTTCACGAGCGACTCCTGTACCAGTCAGTTCACGAGCGACTCCTGTACCAGTCGGTTCACGAGCGACTCCTGTACCAGTCGGTTCACGAGCGACTCCTGTACCAGTCGGTTCACGAGCGACTCCTGTACCAGTCGGTTCACGAGCGACTCCTGTACCAGTCGGTTCACGAGCGACTCCTGTACCAGTCGGTTCACAAGCGACTCCTGTACCAGTCGGTTCACAAGCGACTCCTGTACCAGTCGGTTCACGAGCAACTCCTGTACCAGTCGGTTCACAAGCGACTCCTGTACCAGTCGGTTCACGAGCGACTCCTGTACCAGTCGGTTCACGAGCGACTCCTGTACCAGTCGGTTCACGAGCGACTCCTGTACCAGTCGGTTCACAAGCGACTCCTGTACCAGTCGGTTCCGGAAGGCCTGGCGGGTGTGAGAGAGCAGCAGGGAGGAGTGGAGAAGAACAGTACAATGGGTACGGGTTGTGCAGGCAGAATGTGGAAAGATGGGGGTGAGGGAATCGAAAAGCAGCAGGAAACGGACACTTGGTGCAGCAACGGAGCTGACTGTGTTGTAATTTCATATCTCATACAACATACATAGGCTAGAAGTGTAGCACATTTATAAATTGGGGGGTTGCTTAGTGTACCCTCCAACCACATTTTGTGGTTGGTTGGGATTGGTCCTTAGCTCAACCAATCCCAACCAACACACATTTGTGGTTGCTTGGGTCACAAGCAAGCTCACCCATTGGCCAACTTATTGGCCAATAGGGTAAGCTTCCCTCTCATCTCTCTCTTGCTCATTGTTTGTACTAAAGAGCCTCTTGGCTCATTATTCAATGTATCAATTCTCTCTCTTCTAACAGACTGTGCAAGGGTTGAGCCAGAGGAATGATGAGTGAGGGAGGCGGGTAGGCGAAGAAGGTGGAAGTGAGGGAGTGAGGTGGGCAGGCGGAATGTGGAGATGTGGGGTAGAGGGAGATGTGGGGTAGAGGGAGGTGAACAGCGGAACGCAATGGACTCGTTGCAGAAGTCTCTTGCTGCACCCACTGAACTAATGTGCAAGGGCTAAACATACAGTGCACGGGCTAAACACACAGTGCAAGGGCTAAACACACAGTGCACGGGCTAAACACACAGTGCACGGGCTAAACACACAGTGCAAGGGCTAAACACACAGTGCACGGGCTAAACACACAGTGCAAGGGCTAAACACACAGTGCACGGGCTAAACACACAGTGCAAGGGCTAAACACACAGTGCACGGGCTAAACACACAGTGCACGGGCTAAACACACAGTGCACGGGCTAAACACACAGTGCACGGGCTAAACACACAGTGCACGGGCTAAACACACAGTGCACGGGCTAAACACACAGTGCACGGGCTAAACACACAGTGCACGGCAGGGCTGACAGAGAGTGCACGGCACAGTGAGTAAGGTGAGGGGGCCAGACGAAAGGAGAACGGAGGAATGGGGTAGGTAGGTTTTGGGTGCCCATCCCGAGGTCACACCCCCTTGTATCCCCCCTGCCATGCTGCCATGCTGCCATGCCGCTCCCCCCCACCACCTCACCTCGACCTCGTTCTTGAGCAGCAGAGACAGCTCCGCCATGGTGCTGTTGCCGGGGTAGAACCGGGCCGTCGCCTCCGCCCTGCTGCGCGCCCTGCACAAGTCGCGGGGGCAGGGGAGGAGTGGGTGGAAAAGATGTGATGTGGCGCTTGGGATGATGAAGAGCGTGGGGGGAGGCAAGGATTATTTAAATAAACCCATGCGAGGGGGCCGAGTGTTTAAGGGAAAAGTAGGTACGGCCCGAGCCACACTTGCTTCTTTGCGTTGAACCTCGAAACAAGTCGAACCGGTTCGGTTCAATGCGCTTCGTCTGGATAAGAAGAACCGAACCAAACAGTTCCGAGTGATCTCTTGTCGGTTCGAGTCCAACCGTTTTGACAAAAAGGTTCTATGCTCTCATGACGATACAGCACCCACCGGTTGAGCAGGTTGGCAATGACATGGCGGTCGTCAGTGGGGTGCGTGCGTGCCACAACAGAATGCCATGGTTGAACAGGATATGAGACTGTGCATGGATCACCCAACCACTCTCACCGGTTAAGCAGGTTGGCGATGACGTGGCGGTCGTCAGCGGGGTGAGTGCGAGCCACGGAGCGGTAGTCGTCTCGTGAGATGGAGAGCACCCGACACACCGACAGCGTGCGCACCGTCCACAGCTCCGTGAGGTCGCACAGGAAGGCGATCTCTAAGGGGGGTGGAGAGGGAGTGGGTAGGGCAGCACATCGGCGTTTAGCTGGGTATGGAAGGACACCGACAGCATTCGCACCGTCCACAGGTCTGTGAGGTCGCACAGGAAGACAATCTCTAAAGGGGGAATGTGGGAAGGCACAGGAATACTTGGTATGCCCCCCCTGGCCCCAGCGTGCCCCCCTGTCCCCTGCCTTGCACAACTCACCTCCCTTGCTCTCTGCACACCTCCCTTGCACTCCCCACACCTTCCCTCCCCAGGGCCCACACCTCCCCATGCACTCCCCACACCTCCCCATGCACTCCCCACACCTCCCCGCTCCAGCTGGTCAGCGTGCAGTAAGCGGCTCACCTCCCACGCAGTCCCCCTCGTGCAGCACAAACCACTGCATCTCGTTGCCGTCCTTGTCCCGCACCAGCACCTGCGCACGGGGGAGGGCGAGACAACAGAGAGAGAAAAAGAAAAGATGGAGAGGTTGTTGTGGGCATTGTAGGGTGGGAGCGTGGGAGCAGACGCGACGATGAGCAGGTCCGTGGTGCTACCACCTCACCATGCTCTCTGGTTCCTCTGACCACACCTCACTGTGCCGCACCACACCGCACGACTGCGTGCACCATAAAGCGCTCACCTGCGCCTGCCCCGAGGCAATGATGAGCAGCTCCGTGGTGCTGTTGCCTGCTGCCACCAGGTCCACGTGTGGCAGGAAGAAATCTACATTGGCCCGCGTTGTCACTTGGTCCTGCACCCATGCACACACACACACATGGGGACGGATTGATGGAGGGATGGGGGATGGAAAGGGATTTGAAAGTGATTGTGAGTAAGGGAGCATGCAATGGGGTGGGCGCAAGCAATGGGGTGGGCGCAAGCAGATTTGCTGCAAATACTTGAGTGTGGAATACAGGAGACAAGGGTGATACAGGTCAATGGGTATGGGGATACAAGGTGAGTCGTATTGGAGGGGTCGCATGGGACGTGACGCATGGGAGGGGGCGTGTGGGAGCAGGCGAATAGGTGGGGGCGCATGGGCATGGGAGGCGGTGACTCACGCGGAACACATTGGAGGTGCCGGCGAAGAGGTAGGAGGAGTTGACGAAGCGCGAGTACACGTGGCGCTTCACCAGCGTGCGCACGGATGATGGGCAGTGCAACAACACATCGTCCCTCACCTGTTTGCATGCATGCACACACGCAGACATGCATGCACACATACATGCACACATGCACACACGCGTGCACACATGCAGACATGTACACATGCATGTACACATGCACACATGCACACAGGCACATAAACGCATGCCGACATGGGATGCACACACACCCAACACCGGGAACATGGGCAGTGAGATTCGAGTCCACACCATCTGTTAGATTATACTACTCTTCTGTATCCTGCATTGATCCCATAAACCCTAGGATAGAGATAGGCACCCAAACTATGTTTGGGTGCACAACTAGGGTTAACCCTAGTAGGGGGTTGGAACCTAACCTTGGTCCAATTATTGGCCTCCAAGGTTGGGTTGGGAGATTATTGGCCCCCCCAATAATGTTGGCCCACCATTGGCCAACATTATTGGGACCCCCCAATAATTCTCCAACCCAACTTATTGGTGGGGGGCCAATAATGTTGGCTAGGTAACCAACCAACCCCCCCTCCCCTAGCTTCCACTATGTAAACCCTCATGATTCCTAATCAAGTCAATGGTTCAATTCTAACATGCTATTAGAGCTCTTACGGCTAACGCCGCTCAAGATCCTAGGAACCCTCGCGCCACTTAGCGCACCTCTCGCCGGCTCTGCCGCACCTCTCGCGCCGTTTAGCGCACCTCTCGCGCCACTTAGCGCACCTCTCGCGCCACTCAGCGCACCTCTCCCAGGCTCTGCCGCGTCTCTCGCGCCACTTAGCGCACCTCTCGCCGGCTCTGCCGCACCTCTCGCGCCACTTAGCGCACCTCTCGCGCCACTTAGCGCACCTCTCGCGCCACTTAGCGCACCTCTCCCCGGCTCTGCCGCGTCTCTCGCGCCACTTAAGCGCACGTCCACCGGCTCTGCCGTGCCCCTCGCGCCATCTCGGCGCTCCTCTCCTCGCCTCGACCGTCCGCCGCGACGAACGCGGCTGTCAGCCGCGGACGCGACGAACGCGGCCGTCAGCCGCGGACGCGACGGACGCGGCCGTCAGCCGCGGACGCGACGAACGCGGCCGTCAGCCGCGGACGCGACGAACGCGGCCGTCAGCCGCGGACGCGACGAACGCGGCCGTCAGCCGCGGACGCGACGAACGCGGCCGTCAGCCGCGGACGCGACGAACGCGGTTGTCAGCCGCGGACGCGACGAACGCGGACAGCCGCCGCGGACGCGGCATCCGCGGACAGCCGCCGCGGACGGGGCGAACGCGGGCAGCCGCCGCGGACGCGACATCCGCGGGCAGCCGCCGCGGACGGGGCGAACGCGGGCAGCCGCCGCGGACGCGACATCCGCGGACAGCCGCCGTGGACGGGACGAACGCGGGCAGCCGCCGCGGACGCGACATCCGCGGACAGCCGCCGCGGACGGGACGAACGCGGGCAGCCGCCGCGGACGCAGGCAGCAGCCGCGAACGCGACCAGACGGGGGAGTAACCAGCTGCGGACAGCACGCAGCTCATCTCCACCACTGACCGCGCCGTCCCTCCGGACAGCGTCATCACCTCTAGCACCTCCACCCTCCCCTCCTCCCTCCCTCCCTCACTCGTCATGGCGGACGAACCTTCGTCGCTTGAGCTCGCCTCAATAGACAAACTCGAGCTCCTCAACGGCACCACCGCAGTCAATTGGGTGTCGTTTGAAGAGAGCCTCTTCACGTACCTTGGCTCCGTTCGAGTGGGAGATTATTGCCTCCTTGACGTCGTCCTCGAAATGCCTCACGGCCTCCCTCCCACCCCGCCCCCGCTCCCAGGCTCCTCCCCCCCTGACGCCCCACCACTCCCGACCGAACCCGCCCCTCAAGCCCCCATCCTAGGGGCTTGGGAGGATGACCCAGATAGGTGGGCTCGCACCCTCAACAAGTACAACAAGGAGCGGGACGACTATGTCATCAAGGGCAGAGCACACGCGGCTGCCGTCACCGCTCACGAAGCTGCTACTGCAAAGCTTGCAGAGTTTCAAGCCACCTCCGAAGCATACTCTACTAACCTTCGTAAGCACCACTCCGATACTACTGCATGGTGCATTGCTGACCGCCGTGCACTCACTGTCATCTTCTCGTGCATTCCCTCCTCTCTTAAACGTGACCTTCGCCCTCCATCCTCCCCCTCTCTCTGGAAGTCTCTCTCCTCTCAATATGATCGTCAGGACTTACGTTCCCTCCTCTCCCTCTTTCGCACCTTCCAAGACATCACCCTTGACTCCTCCCTCAATGCCGCCTCCTTCGCTCGGCGTCTCACGGATACTGCGCAACGCCTCAATGATCGAGGCATCTTGATCTCAGACACCCTTCTTACAGCACGCATCCTTGACAGCCTCCCACCCACCTATGACACTTACCGCATCACCTTCACCTCCCAGCACATTCGTCCTCCTCCTGTGGCTGTTACCATCGACTGGCTCCTTGACAGTAAGGCTGACCTCCTACGTGACTCTGCAACGGTCAATGCAGTCTACGCTCGCAAAGGAACCACTAACGCCGGCGGAAGCAGCAGCAGTGGACCTGGACGTGGCTCAAACGGAGGGGGTCGAGGAGGCGGTCGCGGAGGCGGACGAGGAGGGCGCACTGGGGAACGCGGCGGACGTGGAGCAACTACTCCATCCACAAGTGGGTTTCCCCCGTGTCAGTACGTCATTCGTCAAGGCCCCAACAAAGGTCAGACCTCCAACCAGACCACTCACCCAACTGAAACGTGCTTCAAAGCCCTCACTGATGAATGGCTTGCACGCGGCAACACGGGCCCCCCTCCACGTTGGAACACCATCACCCCTCGCCCCACCCCTCATGACATTCGCACTCTCTCCACCTATGCTCCCTCTCCACCTAACCTCCATAATGTCCTCGCTCAGCACCTCTCCCCTCACGTCCTCCAACAAGTCCAACACCTTCTCCCCACACCCACCACCACCCCCACACCCTCCATCCCCACCACTCCGCCTCCACCCACGCCCCCACCTCAAACCCCTCCCTCCCCCTATCCTCCTCCCTATCCTCCTCCTTATGCCGGTTGGCTCTACCCTCCCTACCCCCCATCTATGTATGGCCACGGAACTGCCGCAACTACTGCAACTGCCGCAGCTGCTGAACAACCCACCTCCTCCTCTCACCCCCCCGGCTTCACACCGTTTTCTTCCACGGGCTTCATAGGTCATGTCACTACTGCTAGCTCTTGCAATGATCCTATATATGCCAATGTTATTAATGAGTCCTCATTCCAGTACTCCGTGTCCTCCTCTTCATCTCAGCCCCTTGAGTTCATCTTTGACAGCGGAGCCACACACACGGTCCTTCGTGATGCAGGCACGCTCCTCCCCCTCTCCACCCCCTCCACAGTCTATGGGGCTGACTCAAGCTTTGCCATACAAAGCCGTTACACCTCCACACTCCCCTGTCCCCTCTTTCCCTCAGGTACCGTCACAGGTCTCTATATCCCCTCCCTTCGTAACAACCTGTATCCCTTGGTGCCCTCTCAACAGCAGGTGTCACCGCCCTATTCCCTGGTCACGCAGCATATTGTGACTTATTTCACACCTCCTCCGGTCGCTTCCTCTGCCGTGTCCATCGGTGCCCCTCCACCCACATGTACACCTTCCGCATCCCCCGTCCCACCCTTCACCAACTCTCCACAGCCCATTCCCCCGCCCCTTCCCCTCCTCTCGAACCTCCCGTCCCCCCTCCCACTCCCCCTCCCCCTCCCCCTTCCCCTCCCCCCGCCCCTTCCCCTCCCCCCCCATCTAACTCACCCTCCCCCTGTCACTGTCGTGATCTCACACACCCCACCATTCTCCTCCACCATCGCCTAGGCCATCCCAACTTTGCCACCCTTCGCCGATCCATCCTCACTAAACTCCTTGACGGTCTCCCCCTTACCCTTCCCCCCCTCCCTCCGTCCCCCTCCCCTCCTTGCTCGGTTTGTGTTGAAAGCAAGCTGAAGCAACAACCACACACGAGTAACCCCTCCTTTTCCCTCCAACCCCTTGACCTCGTCCACATGGACCTGTGGGGCCCTAACCCTTCCCCCACCAGGCAAGGACATCGCTATCTCCTCATCCTGGTGGATGATCAGAGTCGTTACTCCACCGTCAGCCTCCTTCGTACGAAGGCGGAGGCCCCGGCTGCCATCACTGCCTGGGCTGAACAAGCACGCAACCACTTCGGTCGCCCTGTTCGCCGCTTCCATTCCGATGGAGGCGGTGAGTTCCTTAACCGCACCTTGTCCTCCTACTGCACCTCTCACGGCATCCTCCACACCTACACTCTCCCTCACTCCCCTCAGCAGAATGGTGTGGCGGAGAGCCGCGTTCGGGAGATCACCAAAACTACTCGGTGCCTCCTCGTTCACGCCTCCTACCCACCTTCCCTTTGGGGCAATGCCATCCTTCACGATGCCATCCTCACTAACCTCTACCCCCACCCTTCCCGTCCCACCTCCACCCCCACCGAACTATGGACCTCCAGCAAGCCTGATATATCTCCTCTGCGTGTCTGGGGTTGCAAGGCGTATGTCCTCATACACCCTGCCGACCGCTCACGCGCACGTGGAAAGCTTGCGTCCCGCACACTCCCCTGTGTCTACCTTGGACACAACTCCAACTCACCTGACTACCTTTTCCTCCACCCCCCCTCAGGCCGCCTCATCCGTAGTCGGGACGTGGTCTTTGACGAGGCTACCCCGTACTACACCTCCCCCTCCGCCCCTAACCCCCTTCCCCCATTTCCCCGACCCCTTCTCTGGACTGACACTCTGCCCCTCCTCCCGTCCCCTGCCATGACCCCTCCCCCCGCTCCTCCACCCCTCCCCCCTCCACTCTCCTCCAGCTCCTCCGGCGACATCCTTAACCCACCCCCCCCCCTCCCCCTCCCACTCCACTACCTCACCTTTCGCTGCAACTCACCTCCCTCCTCCTCCTCCCCCTCCTCCACCTCCCCCGCCCCCTTCCCCCCCATCCCCCCTCCCCTCCTCTATTCCGCCCTCCCCTCCGCCTCCCCCCCCTCTTCCCCAATGCCCCTCCCCTACACTTGTCCTTCCCCGCTATCCCCACACCCGCTCCCTGGACCCCATCCTTGGTTCCCCACAGACTTCCCCCCCCTCCCTCCTCGCCCTCACCGGTACTTCCCTCCCCCCCCGCTTCAGCCCCCTCACTCCAGATCCACTGCGCAACCGCTCCACGCTCTTGACAGCACCACCGCGCAGCCGAGCAGCAGCACTTCCATGTCGCAGACTCGACCTTCAGCGTAGCTGTCTTGCATCTTCACCACCCCCTCTTCCTCCTCCTCTCTCTCCTCTCCTCTATGAAGACACCCACAACGAACTCCTCTTCCTCCACCTCCTCGCGCCCTCCATCGCCCCCATCGTCCGCACCATGGCAGGCACTCCAGTTCTTCTCTTCTCGGGCACCCCCACCATCTTCGAACCCACCACGTACGAGGAGGCAATTGCCTGCCTCGACGCACCGCTCTGGATTGAAGCCATGGTCAAGGAAAGCAACGCCTTCATCCGCAACCGCTCCTTCATCGACGTCCCTCGCCCTGCCAAGACCAATGTCGTCAAGGGCAAATGGCTCTTCCGTGTCAAGCTTCTCCCTGGCGAAGACCCTGTCTACAAAGCTCGCTATGTGGCGAAGGGCTTCACACAGAAGCACGGCTTTGACTTCTTTGAAACATACTCACCCACTGCTACCCCACCGGTCGTTCGGGTGTTCCTCGACTTCGTCGGCAGACGCGGCATGCTGCTACACTCCATGGATGTCACTACCGCCTTCCTCCAAGGCGACCTACACGAACTCATCTTCATGGAACGCCCCAAAGGCTTTCATGCTCCACATGACCCGTCCACCGTTTGGAAGCTGCTGCGGCCCGTCTACGGCCTCAAGCAGGCACCCCGGGAGTGGCATGCCAAGCTCTCTTCCACCCTTCGCGAGCTTGGCTTTCGCCCCTCCCGAGCGGCCTCCAGCCTCTTCCTTCGGACAGCTCCGTCACCTTTCTACATTCTCGTCTATGTCGACGACATGCTACTAGCCGCCGACACAGATGCTGCGATGCAGGAGGTCAAGGACGAACTACAGCGTCGACTCGCCTGCAAAGACCTGGGGGAGGTCCGCAACTACCTTGGCATGGAGATCACCCGCGACCTCAAGGCCAAGACTATCTCCCTCTCTCAGTCCTTCTACATTGAGAAGGTCCTTGAGAGGTTTGGAATGTCAAAAGCCAAGCCCATCGCCACCCTGCATGCAGTTGGGCACCAGCTCGCGCCCCCTAACACCCCCACCGACTCCTCAAACCCCTATGCAAAGCTTGTCGGGGCCCTGATGTACGCCATGGTCTGCACCCGCCCCGACCTTGCCTACCCAGTCAGTGTTCTGGCGCGATTCGTTGGTGTCGGCAGGCACACAGAGGAACACATGACGGTGGCCCGGCGTGTCCTACGCTACCTTCAGCACACGAAGGATTACACCCTCACCCTTGGTGGAGCAGACCCGCCGGTTCTCACTGGCTTCAGCGACTCGTCCTGGGCGGACTCACAGCCTGACCGTCGCAGCTCACAAGGATATGGCTTCACCCTTGGGAGCGGCCTCATTAGCTAGCGCTCCACCCGCTCCTCCTCCATCGCCCTCTCCTCCTGCGAGGCTGAACTTTACGCGGTCACGATGGCAGCACAGGAAGCACGCTGGCTCAGCTATCTCCTCACAGACCTTGGCTCACCATAGCCCTGTCCCACTCTCTGGTGTGACAACGCGAGCACCATCCACCTCACCAAAGAAGCTGTGCTCCATGGTCGCTCCAAGCATATCGAGCTCCGACACTACTTCGTCCGCGATCTTGTCCAGGGTGGTCACATTACCGTGCGCAAAATCGACTCGTCCTCCAACCCCGCGGACATATTCACTAAAGCCCTCGACCGCGCTACTCACTCGGCACTCTTGCCCCTCCTGGGCCTTGCTCCCAATGGTGACTGATTCAGGGGTTGCTGTCTTATCTCATCCAGGTTTATGGATCTATGCAGGCTAAGGGGTTGTGTTAGATTATACTACTCTTCTGTATCCTGCATTGATCCCATAAACCCTAGGATAGAGATAGGCACCCAAACTATGTTTTGGTGCACAACTAGGGTTAACCCTAGTTGGGGGTTGGAACCTAACCTTGGTCCAATTATTGGCCTCCAAGGTTGGGTTGGGAGATTATTGGCCCCCCCAATAATGTTGGCCCACCATTGGCCAACATTATTGGGACCCCCCAATAATTCTCCAACCCAACTTATTGGTGGGGGGCCAATAATGTTGGCTAGGTAACCAACCAACCCCCCCTCCCCTAGCTTCCACTATGTAAACCCTCATGATTCCTAATCAAGTCAATGGTTCAATTCTAACACCATCCCGCTGGCCTTTGCACCAACTCACCCACCCCCACACGAAACCCCATAGAAATCCTTGCTATGCCCTCCCTCTCACCTCTGCAGTGAAAAAGTGCAGCAAGAGGTGCGCCTGCACTTCAACTCCTCTCCACCCGCTCACCTCTGCCGCATGCCCCACTCAGCTTCACAATGCGTCCCTCAAGTCACCCCCACATACCCCTACCCACTCACCTCTGCGGTGTCGAAGTGCAGCTTGAGGTGTGCCTGCACTTGCTCCTGCAGTGAGGCCGGCACCACATGTGCCCGCATGTACCTGGGGGGGATGAGGCATGCAGAAGGATCAAAAGGTTAGATCAAGGAAAGTTGGGATCAAGAAGTGGGATGGGATGGGATGACCATTTGGATGGTGCCCCAAAAGCCAACAAAGTTGGGCCTATTGGTCAATCGATCATGCTGCCTAACTCAGCTTTGGATGAACCCATCCTTCCCCACTTAAATGTCTGCCTGCCTTTCACTTGCATTTCTCTCAACATGCACACATACACACGCACACACATTACGCCTCCCCATATCCTCCCCACGCACACAGCATGCAGGGCCCACCGGTTGATGGCAGCGAGGCGGTCGCGGTATGTGGCAGTGTGGGCGTCGGCCTTGGTGAGCAGCACGGTCATGTTGCCCAGCACGTACGCCGTGAGGCCCAGGTTCACCAGCATGAACAGTGCTGCCCACATGCGCTCCGGTACTGTGAAGGCTGACAGGTCGCCGTAGCCTGCAGTGGGGGGTGGTGGGTTGAGTGGATGCTCTGAACGGGTGAATGCACTGAGGGAGAAAATGCACTAAGGGGGTCATTGTGTAAAGAGAGAGAATTCATTCAGGAGCGCTAAGAGATTGCATACATTAAGGGAGTGAATGCACTGAGCAAGTGGGATTGGGAGTCCTGTTGACAGGCAGGGTGGGCTGTAGTGAGGGGCTCATGAATTGAGAAGTGAGGAAGAGCGAATTTATGGATGAATGGAAGGCTCACATGCGCTCTCATGCACTCACATGCGCTCTCATGCACTCACATGCGCTCTCATGCACTCACATGCGCTCTCATGCACTCACATGCGCTCTCATGCACTCACATGCGCTCTCATGCACTCACATGCGCTCTCATGCACTTACATGCGCTCTCATGCACTCACATACGCTCTCATGCACTCACATGCACTCTCATGCACTCACATGCGCTCTCATGCACTCACATGCGATCTCATGCACTCACATGCGCTCTCATGCACTCACATGCGCTCTCATGCACTCACATGCGCTCTCATGCACTCACATGCGCTCTCATGCACTTACACGCGCTCTCATGCACTTACATGCGCTCTCATGCACTCACATGCGCTCTCATGCACTTACATGCGCTCTCATGCACTCACATGCGCTCTCATGCACTCACATGCGCTCTCATGCACTCTCATGCACTCACATGCGCTCTCATGCACTCACATGCGCTCTCATGCATTCACATGCGCTCTCATGCACTCACATGCGCTCTCATGCACTCACATGCGCTCTCATGCACTCACATGCGCTCTCATGCATTCACATGCGCTCTCATGCACTCACATGCGCTCTCATGCACTCACATGCGCTCTCATGCACTCACATGCGCTCTCATGCATTCACATGCGCTCTCATGCACTCACATGCGCTCTCATGCACTCACATGCGCTCTCATGCACTCACATGCGCTCTCATGCACTCACATGCGCTCTCATGCACTCACATGCGCTCTCATGCACTCACATGCGCTCTCATGCACTCACACGCGCTCTCATGCACTTACATGCGCTCTCATGCACTCACATGCGCTCTCATGCACTTACATGCGCTCTCATGCACTCACATGCGCTCTCATGCACTCACATGCGCTCTCATGCACTCACATGCGCTCTCATGCACTCTCATGCACTCACATGGCTCTCATGCACTCACATGCGCTCTCATGCATTCACATGCGCTCTCATGCACTCACATGCGCTCTCATGCACTCACATGCGCTCTCATGCACTCACATGCGCTCTCATGCATTCACATGCGCTCTCATGCACTCACATGCGCTCTCATGCACTCACATGCGCTCTCATGCACTCACATGCGCTCTCATGCACTCACATGCGCTCTCATGCACTCACATGCGCTCTCATGCACTCACATGCGCTCTCATGCACTCACATGCGCTCTCATGCACTCACATGCGCTCTCATGCATTCACATGCGCTCTCATGCACTCACATGCGCTCTCATGCACTCACATGCGCTCTCATGCACTCACATGCGCTCTCATGCACTCACATGCGCTCTCATGCACTCACATGCGCTCTCATGCACTCACATGCGCTCTCATGCACTCACATGCGCTCTCATGCACTCACATGCGCTCTCATGCACCCACAAACAGTTATGGCACAGGACCTGTGGTGGAGAGGGTGGTCATCGCCCTGCGGAACCAGCAGCACATGGCGCGAAGATTAGAAGCACCGAACCAAATTCGCCGTACGAAGCAAGAGCGCGCATCCCATGTTGAGGCGATGATCGTCCCACGAGGACCAAGTTTATGGCGGAAGGCAGGCACAGAGGCAATGAGAATGGTGTTGACGATGATGCGAGTGAGTGGGAGGGGTGGGAGGGGTGGGAGGGGCGAAGGAGACACACGTGGAAAGGCACGTTCCGTGAGCAGGTGCATGCAGGCATAAAAAGACACGTCACATGATTGGTATACCGTGCCAAGTGCTGTTTCCGATTGTAGCATTCCATGCAGACGAGAAGACATGGATCACATAAGCTAAACCGTAGCAACCATGTGATGCGAGGAGAAGACAGAACCAAAGGGGCTATTGACAAGTGGTTTGGTTGGGATGCACAAGAGGCGCAACAGGTGCCTTCCTTCATTGGGTCAGTTCAGAAACTGGTCTGCTAAAATGGCAGGGCAGTAGGCGACCATGATGAGGTGGTTCGGTAGCGCACAGCGGAATCAAATACTGAGGGTGGGGTGAACCGGGGAACAGATAGCAGCGCACCAGTAGATGGATGTGACATAGGCGTCGAGTGGAGGGCGCAGAGGCAGGTCGGGCTCACAGTGCCCCACCCACTGGGATGGGGGAAGGAGCAGCGGGAGGTGGAGGAGAACGACGTTTGGGAGGGGGACGAGGATGCAATTAAGAGGGTGGTGAAGCGGGAGGAAGGGAGAGAAGAGGAAAGAGAGAGATGGGGGGGGCCGGGGGTGGAGGGGGGGGGGGAAGGAGACGGATGACAAGGAACGAAGAGTGGTGGCAGGGGCAGACAGCAGCAGACAGCCCTGTTGGCAGCACACCATATCCTCACTGAAGTTGCACACAGGAAGGCCAGCAGACAACCTGGTGGGCAAAGAGGCGTGGCATACAGCCCACCATGCCTGGCAGCACACAGCCCACCATGCCTGGCAGGCAGCACACAGCCCACCAGCCCCTCCTCTCTGCCCACTTGTCAAAGGCATCGTCAAAACCTCAGGAGTCACTTCACAAGAAAGACCAAACCCCTCCTCTGTCTGCCCTCTGTTCCTCATCCCTCCTCTCTGTCCCTTTTTCAACCGAGTCTTCATCATGAGTGCCGGAGTCACAATCACGCCACACAACATGCAGCTGCAGCTCACCGTGTCCTCACTGAAGTTGCGCACGCGTGCGAGGAGGAAGAAGACACAGGCGGACCAGTGGGCGGCGAAGAGGATGAGGAGGGCGAACTTGTGCACACTGGTGGAGATGTAGTCGTACCGCACGTCCACGGCCATGTCCCACAGCACGTTCCAGCTGGGAAGGGGGGGAAGAGGGGAATGTGCCACACACACACACGTGGGTACGGAATGCAGTGAGCCACCGATGTAGTCCTCATAGCACACGTGCACCACCATGTCCCACAGCACGTTCCACCTGGGAGGCATGGAGGCGGGGAAACGATCGGGTTGAGCAGAGGGGCATTGAGAGGGGAAGTCAGAGCGCATAAACGCCATGGAGGAAGTTCTGCCTGCAAGGCAGGGCACGGAGAAGACGGGAGTGATGCCAGAAAGTTAATCATGGAGAAAGAGGGGCGATGGATGGGGTTGAGCAGAGGGGAGTGATGGGATGAGATGAGGTGCATCACAGAGGACGGCAAAGCACACCGCGACCACAGGCAGCCCTCCCTAACAGGCAGGTGGCCCTCACATGAAGGTGGCCCTCACAAGTAGGTGGCCCTCACATGAAGGTGGCCCTCACAAGTAGGTGGCCCTCACATGAAGGTGGCCCTCACAAGTAGGTGGCCCTCACAAGTAGGTGGCCCTCACAAGTAGGTGGCCCTCACATGAAGGTGGCCCTCACAAGTAGGTGGCCCTCACAGGCGGCTCTCACTGACAGGCGGATGAGGCGCAGCAGTCGCAGCAGGCCGAAGGCGGAGAGGGCGACAGCAGCGGTGCCGGTGGGCTGATACACGCCCTTGAGCACCAGATCCCATGGCAGCGCTGCTAGCATGTCGTACCAGAACATGCCCCGTAGGTACCTGCAGGGGGAGAGGAAGAGAAGAGACATGAGGGGAGAAGGGGGGGAAAAGGGTTTGGAACAAAAAAGCGATAATTATAAGGACGACATATGGATGGTCACACTCAGCAGTGGGAGCATGTGCGTGTAACGTAAGTGGCACTTAAAACGAGGGTGTACATTTGTCCTTGCAACAGTGCTGACGTCAGCACTCAGTTCATTCAGAGTATTCTTTTTTGAACCCACGAGGACAAACGTGGACCCTCGTTTTAAGAAAATGAGAAAGAGTACACATGCTTACTCGACGGCAATGGTGGCGAGGCTGGTCTTCCACTCGCCCATTCGGAACTCGGGCACGAAGAAGCTGAGCAACACGTCGCTCAGAAACACCTGCGGGGCGAGAAGGGGCGAGAAGGGGCAAGGGACGAGAAGGGGCAAGGGGCGAGAAGGGGCAAGGGGCGAGAAGGGGCAAGGGGGACGAAGCGAAGGAGGACGAAAAGGGGGGAAGGAGGTCGAGGGGTGGTGAGGGGGGGGCGAAGAGGGACGAGGTGGGCTGAGAGGGGGCGCCGGGTGGCAATAGAGGGTGAGGAAAACTGAGGCAGAGACACAGAGGAAAGCACATGACATGAGAGTGTGTGGCATCAAAACAAAGAGCAGCACGTTGCTCAGGACCTCAAGGAGAGGATGGCGCGAGGAGGGGTTGGGGAGGGGGCGATGAGAGGCAGAGACACAGAGGGCGAGGCAATGAGCGTGATCAGGCAGAACAAGAGGGAATCAGTGTGCATAAGAAGCGGAGAGGGGAAGTGCGTGGCTCAGGATAACTCTGCTGCCCCATGGCACCGCCCACCCCATCCCGCACTTCAACCCCGCATTGAGCACCTGCATTAAGCACTCACAGCGTCGGTGCAATAGATAAAGACGTTGACTGGCGTGAACACATTCTCGGTGTCGAGGAACGCCACGTTGAAGGGCTCCACGATGCCGATGAGGATGGCCAGCAGCAGCAGCGCCGCCTGGAACTGCTGGTACAGCGATGCCTGCGGGTTGATCACCCAGTCTGATAGATACACCGAATCTGGCCCGCCCTCGCCCCCCTCGCCCTCCCCTGCCGCCTCGCTTGATGGAGGCACCTCTGAGATGGCCTGAAGTCAGGATGGGATGCGGTCGAGTGGGGTGGGATGGGATGGGATGGGATGGGATGGGATGGGATGGGATGGGATGGGATGGGATGGGATGGGTTGGGATGGGATGGGATGGGATGGGATGGGATGGGTTGGGATGGGATGGGATGGGACGGGACAGGATGGGACGGGACGGGATGGGACGGGACGGGATGGGACGGGATGGGACGGGATGGGACGGAACGGGACGGGACCAAACGGAACGGGACAGCGGGACGGGACGAGACGGGACGGGATGGGATGGGACGGGATGGGATGGGAGGGATGGGATGGGAGGGATGGGATGGGAGGGATGGGATGGGAGGGATGGGATGGGAGGGATGGGATGGGAGGGATGGGATGGGAGGGATGGGATGGGAGGGATGGGATGGGAGGGATGGGATGGGAGGGATGGGATGGGAGGGATGGGATGGGAGGGATGGGATGGGAGGGATGGGATGGGAAAAGGGTCCGACGGGAAGTGCGAAACAAACAGCACAAATCCGCAGCAAGCAAGCGCATCCCACTGATCCCAAGCAGCTCACCTCGAACATGCTCCCACTGTACATATCCCCGCGGTGAAAGCTACTCTCCGGAGTCACATTCAAGCTGTTACTCCCACTCCCCCCTCCCCCTCCCGCACTGCCAAAGCTCCCCGCACTCCCGCCACTGTCAGCCCGGGACAAACTGCGCCGTCCACTCCCAACGCTGCCCGCCGCCCCGGGCGGCAGCAGGTGCTGTTGCGAGGCGAGGGAGTCGTCGGAACCAGACCCCTTGCGGCGGCGGATGGACTCAAAGCGCAGCATGGAGGCGGACTTGTGCAGAATGGCCCTCAGCTCGGGGGATTCTAGAGGCGCCAGGCGGGATTGCAGCGGCTGATGGGGGAGAGGAGGGGGTAAAGGGGAGGTGAGGGGAGTTGGGGGATGCAAGGGAGGGGGAAGGAGAGAGTTGTGGTTGGTACAGGGGGGCCTGCCAACCTCCTGCCAGCAGGAGAGTTGCAGAATGGCCCTCAGCTCGGGGGATTTGATTGGTGCCAGGCGGGCGGATTGGAGGGGCTGGTGGAAAGGTTGGGGGGCATTGCGCGTGATGCGGGTGTGTGGGGTTGAGAGAGGGTGGCAGTTGTGTAGGGGTGGGGTATTGGGGGGTTTTGACGGGGTGGGGGTTGCGGGGTTTGTGGGGGGGACGGGAGGTGGTGAGAGGGAACGGTATCTTGTGACAGTTCCCTGGGGGCATCATGCACGTCACGATGGAGCAAGCGCGCCATGCAAGCGCGCCATGCAGGCTGCACCCACCTGCTCGACGCCATGCAGGCTGCACCCACCTGCTCGACGCCATCAGCGGGGTCCCTCTCCCCACGCTCGTCCCTCTCCCCACGCTCGTCCCTCTCCCCACGCTCGTCCCTCTCCCCACGCTCGTCCCTCTCCCCACGCTCGTCCCTCTCCCCACGCTCGTCCCTCTCCCCACGCTCGTCCCTCTCCCCACGCTCGTCCCTCTCCCCACGCTCGTCCCTCTCCCCACGCTCGTCCCTCTCCCCACGCTTCTCTCCCTCTCCCCACGCTTCTCTCCCTCTCCTTGCTGCTTCCTCGCCCCACCCTCGTCCCTCTCCCCGCGCGCATCCCTATCCCCACAGCTCTCGCCATCGCCCACGGTGCTCAAGAGCAACCTGCACGCACCTGCTCGAGCCCATCAGCGGGATCGCCGCTCATCCCCCTTTCCACTGCCCGCGCCATCGCCCACGGTGCGCTCCCCCTGTCCTCCACCTCCCCGCCTCTCCCCGCAGCACCCCCTCCTGTTGCTGGCCCCACTCCTGCTGGCCCCACTCCTGCCGCCCCTTCGCCGCGCATGTCGACAGTAAACGCGAACGCCTCGTGGTTGCTGTACGCCGCAACCGGCGCCGCGTACGGCGGCACAGCAGACGCCGCAATTGGCGACGCGAATGGCGAGACGGACGGGCTTCGATAATCCCTGTCTGTGGCTTCTGCATGAAAGGCCCAGTTCGCAGACGTGGAATCCGCAGAACGCGCCGTGTGGACAGGGGATACCGTCGCTCCCGACCCTGTCACTGGTGCTAATCCGACGGTTCCCGACGCTTCAAATGCAGATGGTGGAGGCGATCCTACGGCCCAGGAGGACCCGCCGCTGCGGTTGCTACTTGCGGATGCCGTTCCTCGGATGAAGCCGGGAGCAATCAACGGCTGGTTCTCCTCCTCTCGGGGTTCCATCTGTCACGGCTTTCAGGTGATCCGTTACGAATTGCAAATGATCTTGCACGAAGAGCACTGAGGAACTGTAACGAACATTAAATACGTTCAGCAACGTGGTCAATATTATCTGTTGCGGGCTGCTCAGTGAGCTGTCACTAACGTGATCCGATATCCTCTCTGTTACGATAACGGTAGTGTAATCATCGAACGAAGCAGGTTGCGGTAAGGACAGTCAAACGGCACCAGCAACCCTAAATGGCTGCGCTCTCGTCCTCACGGAAGCAACAGCGCGCACACGCTAGCTCCTCCTGGATGCCTCATGCTTATCGTCCCCCGCCATTCCTAGCTCGACCGTTCTACACGCCGGATGTCGCGGTGATCGGCTACTGTACTGGTAACACAACACAGGCCACAAAACAGGAATGAATGGTGTTGCACATGGGTTCTCCATTCCACCTCGTTATGCCAGATGTGGAGAACAGCTCACATATGAACACCCGCATTTGTGTTCGGTTCGAAGAGTTTCTGTGCGTTGGAATGAGGTCAACTCAACATCTGACCTCCACTACCACAAGCAAATGGAAGGAGGGGAGGGACAAGGGCAGGTTCGTTCGGTCCTTCCCTCCCCTGTAGGGATTTCTGGCCAGATTGTTACTTCGGGTGCAGTGACGCGACGCGGAAGTCAGGTGTAGCCCTGGGAGCAGTGCAGCTTGTCACGGAAAGCGAACCAATCAGGAGCCAAGGCCACGTAGGCCGTCAGGTTCAAACCAATGCTTGGGGACGGTAGGAACTGTACTATACTGGACTGTACTAGAACATAAAGTTCACATAACGCGTACAATAACTATTAATGTTATGAGTTCTTTTCAACATTCCGTCATCTCCCGTATATAGTGTTACGAATAGTAAATTGAGAAACGGCACTGTGCATTCTTACCTGTAGCAAGAACAGAGAACACACAAAGGAGTACGAAGACGAAAGGTCGAAGCGTCGCGAACAGTTGGAGGGCATCTTGAATTTCGGAGCAGACAACATTGGGCAGCTTCAGGAGCGAGGAGAAAGGCAGAAACAGTTTCGCCACTGTACGCACCGCACGGTTGGGTTTGAATTCAAATAAAGGAATGTACCACATGGCTGTTAACGGGAATGGAGTGTTTGACAAAGTTTGAAGGAAGAAAAAGAGGGGGATGAACTAGCAGAAATGGGGATACAAATAGCAAACCCTAGAAGGGTTGTACTCGCTATAGAGCACCCCACTACAGGCTAGAACATAAGAATAATATTCTGACACACCCCCATAGCCAAAGTGGGGTGTAATCAGCAGAGCAGGCAAAACAGTACAAGCTCAGGGTGGATCACAATGTCACCACGCATTCTGAGCACAAGGTCAAGAAGAAATAGTTCAAAGTTAACAATTATGAGCAAAGCTAGCAGTGGTCACAACGGGCAAGTGAGGAGGAGGAGGGAGAGTGAGAGGAGAGGAGATAGAAGGCGACGGCTGAAGCTGCAGACACACGGGCAACAGGAGTGGCGAGCACAGTGGCTACCGGGACAGCGCCCCGGACTACGGGAGTAACAGGCCCCGCGGCTCAAGTAGCGGCAGACGGGCAACGGACCCACAGGCGACCGGCTCAGCGACAAGCTCACTGGGCTACCGGGACAGCGCCCCGGACTACAGGTGCTGCGGACGACAAACTGGCAACCTCCGCTCAACCTCCCACACACAGTCCCACCCCCCTCATACACACCCACTACTACACCGCTAGCTGCACTCCCACGCACCCCCCTTAAACCCTAAACCCGAGTCTCCCACACAACCACCCCCCTCAGCGACAGCTGCAGCAGTGGGAGACGAAGGAGGAGGAGAGTACACCGGCCACCCCCATACCCGCCACCCCACAGCGGCCCCCTCAGGTCGCCACGACGGACGACGGGAAATGGCAGGGGGAAGGGGGGGGGGGGGGGGGGGGGGGGTGTGGTGAAAGGGGCCCACCACGGGCCTGGTTGGAGGGCGGGGCCGCGACAAGGGGCGGGACCGCGACGGTCGGGGCGGGGCCGCGACGAGGGGCGGGGCCGCGACGTAGGGCGGGGCCGCTTCGAGGGGCGGGGCCGCGACGCAGGGCGGGGCCGCGACGTAGGGCGGGGCCGCGAAGGGTCGGGGCGGGGCCGCGACGTAGGGAGGGGCCGCGACGAGGGCGGGGCCGCGACGAGGGCGGGGCCGCGACGGTCGGGGCGGACGCCCGCCGCGCGCCTCGGGACGCACAGCGGGCAGAGAACCGCCGCGCGCCACGGGGCGCACGGCGGGCAGAAAACCGCCGCGCGCCTCGGGGCGCCGGCGGGAAAGAAAACCGCCGCGCGCCACGGGGCGCACGGCGGGAAGGAAAGGTGGCAGCGGAAGCGAGGTGGTAACCCACCCACAGGTTCGATCCAAGGGGATCGACCTGCTCTGATAGCATGACAAAGTTTGAAGGAAGAAAAAGAGGGGGATGAACTAGCAGAAATGGGGATACAAATAGCAAACCCTAGAAGGGTTGTACTCGCTATAGAGCACCCCACTACAGGCTAGAACATAAGAATAATATTCTGACAGTGTTGGCCCCACCCTCGCTTGGGCAACGCTGACGACTTGGTCGGATGTTCGGGAGTAGCAACAAACCGTTCACAGTGGGAGAGCTGCTCGACAGGCTTCGTCGAGCTGCAGGGGACCGCTGTGGTGCTGCTGTCGACCAGGGAGCTCGACAGCTGCAACTGACTGGTCTGGTAGACGGGTGGGACGTCGTCCAGGACCTACAGTTCGACCGGGAGGTCGACGGAGCAGTCTGTCGACCTCACAAGTGAGCAGCGGTCGACGAGAGGAGCTTGGCGACAACCGCTAACTGTTCCGGTCGACGGAAGGGGTCCGTCGACCAGGGGGTAGCTCGACGGGAGTTGTGGTCGGCCAGAGGCACCTGGTGGTCGTCCAGAGGGACCTGGTGGTCGACCATAAGCAGTGGTGGTCGACCGGAAGCACCTGGTGGTCGACCGGGTCGACCGGGTAATCTGCTCGACGAGTTCCGCGGAGGCACGCAAACGTCGTCGAGGATGCAGTGGCGCAGGCGACTGCGGGCTGGTATCCCGGAGTCGATGTGGCTCGTCAGGCGCAGACAACAGCCGACGGATGCCCAACGAGGCAAGTCGGGCCAATCGTCTGCGCGCATCTGTGAGCGTACGCACTGCTGTACAGCCGCTCTGTTGCAGCGTTGGTACGCCGTCGACCTGCTCTGTTGGCAGGTCGCCGTTCTGCAGTGCTGGCGCGGCTCCTCTACGCAACGCTGGCAGGCGGTCGACCGAGCTGCGCTGGCGGTCGACCAGGCTAGCAGCAGGGTTGCTAGGTGCCTGATGTAGTCATTGTTGTCATTGCTTGTTGAATCATTCTTTAATTTCGACTTTGCCTAGTGGAAATTCTTGCCGATTTCTCTCGTGAATGTGCAAGCACTAAGGAACTAAGCAAAGCTACGATCATTCCTAGTAGTTCGTGCCAACCCCCGTAGTCTAGTTCACTACCGTTGTAGGGTGACTATCCGCATGGTGCGGTGAGCGTGGAGGACTGGGGTTCGATTCCTGCTGTTGGCGACTTCCTGTGCCCTAGTGGTGGGCCCTCCCAGTGAGGGGAGTGTTGGAAGTGGACACTGGAATGGCCCGAAGTGGTCTCCCTAAGGGCTACAGGTGTCGTCCTGGGGGGTATGGGTGCGGTGACTCACTATGGAAACATGCCCTTTTAGCCCAGTTGGTTAGCGGACTGGACATGGTGCGGTGAGCTCGACCAGGAGATGGCGGCCCCTCCGTAGACGAACACGTAGCCTCCCGTGCTCGTCCAGTTCTGCTTGTCGCCCGCGTCGTCGGCATCGACGTAGCCGATCAGCTCCAATGATTCTGGTCCACCGCCGAACTCCAGGGCGGTGTCGCGGGTTGTCAGAACATTATAGCTCATGCATATTATGTAGGCTATAGTGTCAAAATTAGAAGAAAGAAAGAGGGTTGAACTAGCAAGAATGAGGATACAAATAGCAAACCCTAGAAGGGTTGTACTCGCTATAGAGCACCCCACTACAGGCTAGAACAATAAGATAATATTCTGACACACCCCCATAGCCAAAGTGGGGTGTAATCAGCAGAGCAGGCAAAGCAATACAAGCTCAGGGTGGATCACAATGTCACCACATATTCTGAGCACAAGTTCAAGAAGAAATAGTTTAGAGTTCACAATTATAAGCAAAGCTAGTGGTAGTCACAACGGGCAAGTGAGGAGGAGGAGGGAGAGTGAGGGGAGAGGAGATAGGAGGCGACGGCTGAAGCTGAAGACACACGGGCAACAGGAGGCAGACTGGCACAGCGGCTACCGGACAGCGCCCGGACTACAGGAGTAACAGGCCCCGCGGCTCAAATAGCGGCGGACGGGCAACGGACCCACAGGCGGCTGGCGTAGAAGTCTAGCTCACTGGGCTACCGGGACAGCGCCCCGGACTACAGGTGCTGCTGACGACAGACTGGCAACCTCCGCTCATCCTCCCGCACACAGTCCCACCCCCCTGATACACACCCACTGCTACACCGCTAGCTCTACTCCCACGCACCCCCCTTAAACCCTAAACCCCAGTCTCCCACACAACCACCCCCCTCAGCGACAGCTGCAGCAGTGGGAGACGAAGGAGGAGGAGGAGCAAAGGGAGGAAGGCACACCGATCACCCCCATACCCGCCACCCCACAGCGCGGCCCCCTCAGGTCGCCTCGACGGACGACGGGAAATGGGGGGGAGGGGAGAAAGGGGCCCACCACGGACCTGAGAGAGTCGCAGGTGGGGGGACGGGGCCGGGGCCGGGGCCGCGAGTAGGGCGACGGGGCCGCGCGGGCGGCGACGGGGCCGCGCGGGCGGTGAAGGGGCCGCGGCGGGTGGGGAGGGGGTCGCTGCGGGCGGCGACGGGGCCGCACGGGCGGCTACAGGGCCGCTGCGGCGGCGACGGGGCCGCTCGGGCGGTG